AATGGATAAATATTTGGGGAGTGCAGCAGTGGAATGAGCCTACTTTACTGTGTAAGTTGTTTAATGGACACGATTTGACAGGCAGAATGTGCAGGTCAGTCGGCTGCCCACTGGGGAGTCCAGAGTACCTGTTTGTGCAGTGAGCAGTTCTCTGCCTGGCCGAAACCCTCAGTTCGTTACAGATGTTTGGTATACACATATCTTTACAAATTACTTGTATAAAGTTCAAGCTGTAATACTGGCTAGCAGAAAACACATTTTTAAAACGCGTTTGTAAAAAGCTAGGAAACCACTGAGTAGTAGTTTCAAAAAATCTCGTTTTCATACAATTTGACTTACACAGCTGATGGTCCCAGGTTTTTTGTTCGTGTTTGTGTGGCTGGTGTTGCAGTGGACTAGCCCATAAACATGATGGTCATCCACACCAAGAAGTACCGCTGGATTCTGCTGATGGTTCAGGTCAAATCACCCTTGAGTAAACAGTAGTAAATGTCCATTTGTTTAAATCTCTTATGTTTGCTTCATATGTCTGAAGCCAAACTAAAGATTTGGCACTACACTTTCATTACATCTTTATGAGAACAGCTGCACTGTGCTGAAAGCTTACCAAGATCTTAAAACTTTAAATGTAGCTCTTCAGAGTAAATCATAGTTAAAATTGAATGCATCAGTTTGCTTGTTTACATTAGCACATATTAGAGTGCAATAGAAGCAAATCTGAAAAGCAAAACATTTTGCTGAGGACCTGATGTGCACACCTGGGGACACTTTTGAAGTTTTTACTTCAGATTAGGTTCAGGCTGGTTCTGTGTACTGAGTATTCATTTACGCTCACAGAAAATATTTTTCATAAGCTAGCAGCCCCACTCTTTTTTTTAATTCTTATTTTTAATTCATATGTGTGTTTTTTCTCTGTCAGGAGATGCATATGATGTTCTGACATAGGTTTGGGTTATGTGCCTGACATATAGTAGGTTAGAACAATGAAATGCAAATTAAACTTATGTTGATTCAAGGAGAGTTTTAAAATGAGATCCTACTTTACAAATATCACACATTGTGATGAGGTTTCACTACATATTTTAGTGAAATTAATGTTTTAGGGCCATGGAGATTGCAAGCTGAAACAGGTTGCGGGCCATCTGTTCCATATGTTTTCTGTGATGGTAGCCAGTTCCAGGTGCTTTGGAGTTTAGAAGTCCTATATTAGATGGCTGTGGAATAAAATAGCCCCAGGGCAATGTCTTTGAGTTCCATATCAGGTTCTCTGTTTGTTCTATTACCTTAAGCAAAATATTTTGAAAACATCTTACTTTGAAAACAAATATGGTTTACTTCATGCAAATCAAGACATTGGCAATAAAAAAGACCTCTCTGTATCCAAGCTTTAGGACAGATGACAAGCTTCACCACAATTATCTTTAAATGGCTTAGAGTATGCTCTAAGAGATGATCTAAAAGTTATAAGTTTACTGAAGTTAATTGTACTTTTTAGTGATGAAACGAGTTTCTATTCAGCTCCATTACTTGGGTTATTGGGTCCAAACCAGCTATGGAGCCACAGTATCCATTCTCTACTGCACAAAATAGTTACTAATTTGTAGATATTAATAAAATAAAAATATGTGCTCTATGCCTGAATAGAATTTTTTTAGAATTTTGCAGGCCTTCTGTATCAGTAGATATCTTGAATCCCTTTGATTATGCTTTCTAAAGTTGCAGCTGGGACATTTGAAAATAATATTTTAATACTTGAGGGAAAAAAACCCCACATATCCAGTGAAATGGGCTTCAGAGCAATTGCAGTGTTAATTTTTTTTCTGTCTTTATTTCCTAAAATTACATGCAATATTTCACAGTACACTGAGACTTTCTGTGTTTAAACATTATTTGTATACCTTCTTTTGCCATTTGCAACATTTTTTTCTCCTGTTCACTTCAGCATGCATTTATGAACCAGCACATTTCATTAGACTTCCCTTTGACATTTGTATTTTTTTTTTTAAACTGGAAATGCAGTAGCTTGTCTTAAAAACCCCTGCAGAAGACCTGATTTTTCTCCATCTGTTCCTCCCAGTCTCATAGGGAAGAGCGGGAGGTCTGGTGGGAGGGATCACTTATGAAACCCAAGTTGGTGCTCACAAAACACAGTGTCCAAGACAGCAGTGAAGCTTTCCAGTTGGAACATGGGGAGGTCATTTCTCCTTTCTCGTCCTTCCTCTGCTTCAGGGAAGTGTTGAACACCATTCACAGCTGGCTTAGCTGTTGAGGGAAAGACGTGGAAAACTAAAGCAACTGGTTTTTAGGAAGCCTTTTTTTTTTTTTGTGAAAATGGGGTTGAATGCAAAGAGTTTATGTTTTGGTGTGAGTGTGGTATATAAAACAGAATGAAGCTGAAAGGTGTGTGTGTGGCAGACTGCCTACATCTCTGCCCATCTTCCTGTTGCTGTTTTCCAAGATCAGCGTGAGGACATCTTGACAAAATCCAGTTCTACCCAAACCTTGTGCTTTTGTATTCTGTTGAGCCTAACTGACGTTCAGAGCTTCAGTAAAGGTCCAAATCTGCAGGTCATCTAGCTGGGCCTTTTGTTTCCTTTATCTGTACTGCTTCCCACTCTCCTCCCAGTAAGTAACCTCACACTCTCCTCAAACTGTTTTAAACTCTTGCTTGCTCAGAAAATCACTCCAGAGGTTCTTATTTCAATAATATTAACAAAGCTGTCTTTGAAGAAAGGCAAAGCTTGTAATAAGGAGCAATGCTAGGAGTTGTGCTAGTTCCAATATTGAAACCAATGTGAAAATGAAATTACTTTTCACTTTACTTTAGGACAGAATGGAAGAATAAGTCTTTGCAGTGTGATTACTTAAGTAACATTTGCAGGAGGTAATACCATTTCATTCGGTTGAATAAATAAACCAAAAAGCTCCACCTTCTTATCATGTGACTCTTTGGACAACTGACGCTTGGAAATTCAAGACAGTGAATTTTTATTCATGTGTTTCTTACTAAGCACATATATTTTGAATTCTCTAAAGCAATAATATAAAGGTGAGAAATTAATAGCTTGCTTTGGGGCCTTTGCTGTGGTTTCCTGCAGTGCATATCAATTTCTTTTAATATATCCAGGAATGGTAAGGAGGCAGAAGTTGGGAGAGAGAGAGACTTGAGCAGAAACAAGAGGACCTGTCCAGAAACTTGAGGACCCTTCCAGAAACTTTTAGCCAGCTTCTCTTTGGGAGAAGATAGCTGATTCATGTCCACATCATGTACTGTCTAATGCTGAGCTGATGACCCTTACTGCGTCTACATGCTCCCTTTTAAGGAGAGCACGCTTCTTGAGGGCAGCGTTGAATTGGAAACAACTTTATGGACTTGCTTTTTGTTATGCGAATTAACTACCAAATTACTTGTCTTTCTGCCGTGTTTATGGACTTGCCCGTTTCTTATATGAACCAGTTTAATTGGCTGTGTCAGTTCCAGTGCTTGCAGAAAGATTTACAATGGTTGATCTTTGCTGATATTTCCACTCCACAGTCTCCATTATACGTAGTGTTAGCACTCCACAAGGGAACACACATAAGTGGAGATCATGCTGTGATAACTTCTTAAGGATTCTGGCACTGGGGGGATGTGTGTTGGTGTGTGTGTCTTCCTTGTCCTTATAGCTAAACATTATCTATAAGTACTGTAGCTACATAAGAAGTACTATAGCTATATTAGAACTCACGTTACTTCTGATTAATTAGCTTTCAGTTTATTTAGTTCTAGTTCCTAGTTGAATATACTTTCCTATTTAGTAGGAATAATGTCTGGTGAATATCATAAGTAAAATCCTGATTTAAGAAACACAAAGAATATTTTTAAATATTAGCAGTTACAGTTATAGCTTTAATAATATTTTGTTTCTAGCAATATTAAAAGTCCAGATTGCTGTTTAAAATCTCTTACAGATTCCTTTAAATATACCTCCAGTTAAAAAAAAAATAAATCAGTAGCACTGGGTTTGTACAATGATTTCCACCAGAACTATAAATAATTTTCTCATGTCTGATTGTTCTCCATCTTTAGCTTTTTGGATGCCCCTAGTGCCAGCTTTCCTGCTGAGCATGTCCCAAAGCAAAGAGTTTAGGTTTTGAAGGTATATGAGGGAAAACTACCATACTGATAGCTTCTCATTTTGGAGTCTGATTCCTCTGTGTTCTGTGAGAGAATTACCCCCCATTTATGTGGGTAAAAGAGATTCTCTGATATGTTATAGGAAGATTGTAGGCCAATGTATTTGTTTCTAAAGAGATTCGAGAATCTGTAGCAGAGACAACCTTAATCATTATTTCAGGTGATAAGTATTGTTCTCCTTAGTGTAAAGTAATAAGTTAGGAAATTTTTCAGTATTAACTCAGGTGAAACCTTAAACAACACTGACTTTTAAAACTATTATTTTGCACTGAGGAGAATGTTGCTATTTTTCTGACCTATCATTGCTATCAATTTTGGTGTAGCACATCTCACCTACTTTAATATGTAAGTTTACAAAAAGAGATGTGAGGAGTTTGGGTGTTAATTTGTAGATATGGGATATTTTAACATTCAAATTGATTGTGCTTTAGTAGTCTTAGAACTATCTGTGCTAGAAGAAGTAAATAAAGGCAAAGGAGTATTACCAGTGCCTTCTCAAAAAGGGGCCATTGAAGCAATGGGGAAATGCCTTATTCCTTGTTAAACAACACTGTCAGGTGAGTTCAGCCCAAGGACTTGAAGGTAACTGTGAACAGAACATTTGGTGTGTGCCTTGATGATTTGATGCTGTCAAGTTACCCTTTATGGGCCCAATAGTGTTGAAAATTTGGAAGGCGTCAATTCCAGCGTCATTTAAATTAGCCTCCCACTGATGTGCTCAGCTAGATCTCAAGCCAGAAATCATACAAAATTAACGGATCTCCAGTCAAACTTAGTAAAACACATGCTTTTCTAACTGCCCTTTATTGCCTTCCTTTTCTAGGTCTTTAGGGATTTTACACTGCGTATCTGGAAAAACAAGTCACCGTTTAAACACTAAGTCTACAGCTTGAATGGTAAGGGGAAGCTGCATTACTGTGTTGTTATTACTCAATTAGTGTGGAGCTGATGACTTGGATGAAGGAAGTGCTATTCTAGTTTCTTTACTGGGAACTGTCGTGCTTTGAGTCAATATATACCCCAAAGAACAATTTTTTTAGAAATCTCATAAAGCACAGTTTTTAACACTTCCATGCTTTATAGCTATGAGCTGGCTGCTAAAAGCAGTGTAGAGACTTTTCAGCTCCTATTGACCTCACTTCTATTCTTGGGCTTTGTACATAGGCCTTCTCTTATACAGATTTCTATTTTTTCATATATTTAATGTTTTAAAATATCTGTATATGCTTCTTTAGAACTTTTGTTTTGTCCTGTCCAGTTTTACAGTGATTTTGCCTTCAGGCTGGCAAGTGTTGTCTCTGAACAGTGCCTAGCATCTTCCATTCTAAAATTCTACTTTCAATCTATTTCTGGAAAACCGTAATTTTTTAAGTTAAAATTATCCATCTCTTTCACTCCTTCCTTTCCCTTTCCACCAAAAGGCTTCAGTAATTCAGGAAATCTGGTCTTCTGCTAATATTCAGGCAACCTCTTAGAGAAAATATCTTCTGCCCTTTCATTACTGTAGTAAGAAGGCAGAAGAGAAGGTGCCTTTAATAGTACTACAAAAATTGCTCAAATTTGCCCAACTTGCTTCAATTTTTACATGCTCAGTGGAGAGCTCTAGGCCTCCACAGCTGGAGTTTATTTTCTTTCCATGTTGAATAAACACCAGCTTAGGACTGGCAGAATATTTGCTGCTTCAATCAGGACCTGCTTCAGGCAAATTTGGATTTTGGTATAGAAGCCCCAAACCAAAAGCAAGTTTACTGTACCTTTCCTGGGCTGTCAGTGACTGTGCTTCTGGGTTTGGCTTGAATGCAAACTAGACACAGAAGGAGGTTAATTAGGTTGGTATCATTTGAGAGATAATTATGCATGGAAAGCAGGTCCAGAGTTGTGTTTTATAACTTGACAAGTACAAGAGTGCATCAAATTAGGATTGCCTTTAGAAAAAGAAATTTTTATTTATTACAGTTACTCTGAACCGAAAATCAGGTTTTTTAACAGTAATTATTTATAGCACACAGTTAATTGTAGTTATTTATAGCTCCCACTGAGTGCGTATTCTTGGTTTGGTGTGATGATAATTACAGCATTGGAACAAAATAGTATAGCTTCAATACACTGAAGTTTGAACAACTGACAATATTATCCATGCAGAGTACAGGTTTCAGATCCATTTCAAATTTACTGAAGGAAAAGTAGCCCATGGATTTCCAAGGGGATCTCCTCTAGTCCTTCATAGAAGTGCTCTAGACTTTTTAATGTCACATTTCAACAGGTCTTGCAAGGGCTCAGTTGGTTTGTTTTGGGTTTCAGTGGGTCCCTGAATACTCCAGAGACATGGGCATTTTTCATATTCACCTTTTTGGCCTGAGCATACTGTGGTGAACTCTGACACCAGCTCTCCAGTCTCTCCAGTGTAACCAGGACAGTAGTCAGGGGAAAAGTGAAGAAACAAGATTCAGAACCTTCAACTATTCCCTGATTTTATACCTAAGTGAAAGGATGAGCAAAAGATAAAATAGAAAGGATAACAGAGATAAGAAAATGGCAAAATTGGTTGCCTGAGTGATTACAATTGGTTTATTCACATCAGTTACTGCATAAATTAGCTGTACAAGTAAAGGATCATATAGAAGTTTAGAGTGAGAAGAATCAAGAGACAAAATTTTGTAAAAGTGTCCTAAAAATATTATTAAACATCCATAGATGGTAGAATAAAGAATAAAAAATCTGACCTTCTCCTTTGAGTGCTTGTCTATAAAGTCTCTGGCTACACAATTTATCTTGAATCTTGTTTCGGGACAAGCTGGCCCTTTCAAAGAGGCTTCTTAGATATTAAAGATAGTCTGAAACATGCAATTTCCTACAGAAGTAGCCTGGGAATACAAGCCCAGTATAAAGCAAACAAGAAAGACTAAAAATTAATCTTTTGGAGGAAAAACCCAGTAGGAAAGAATGAAGATGCCCATCTTAACTCCCTAGTAAAAGATGTGCAGGCTGATGCCTGCAAGGGATTGCTAGGCCGAGGAAAGCACATGGATGACATTTGGAATTTATTTTTCTCAAACAAAAAATGTAACCTGAAACTCATGCCCTGAAGAAAATTAACTTAACTCCTATAGCTCATAGGAGCTCTCTGAAACACTAGCCAGTGAATTAAACCACTGATTTAGAAGTTTCTCAGATAGCTAAAAAATATATGAAGTCTTCAGGGCAGGGAAATCTTTTCTAATACATTTGTATGTCATCAAGCACAGTGCCAAGAAACGCTGATTTCATTTATGCCAGTAAGAGTGTAGTATGAAATCTCCTTTGCAAATCTGTATTTTAATTTCCTTTTAGGGGCATTTCTACCAAAAAAATATTTTATTATATAGTTGGTTTCTCTTTCTTTATTTTTTTTATGTGAGTTTGGCCCGTGAATTTGTTGGAGAAAACCAAAGTAACAGTTCATGTAGCATCTAGAATCCAATGTAAAGAGGCACAACACTTCTGTCTAGCTGGCATCTAGAGCACAAAGGATCAGTAAGCAGTTAAAAATCCCTTTTGCCTGTGAGAGTGTTCATTGCCAATATTTATCTAAGGAAAGGGCCTGGAACAGCCAAGTGGTCTGTAAGAGGATTCAAGGAAGGTGAAGTTCAAAGGAAAAATAGGGAAGCCTGAGAATCTATTTCAGACCTCTTTGTTCCAATTTTTTTCACCTGTGAACAAATAGCAGAGCACTCTGAGGGGTTTGTTCTGGTCACTGACTGCTCTTTTATCAGTCCCAGTGGGAGCAAACCTGAACCTAAGTGGAATCAATTGAGGTGTTTACAGAGACAGTAAGCCCAGGTCTGGTCTGAGGAGAGGAGATCCGAGTATGAACGTGCCAGCAGTAGATGTTGATTTGAGGTCTCAGTGCAGGGGTTGCAGGACATGTCTGTGCTGTGGAATTGGTTAAGGGGCAGAGGAGGCACTGCTGCCCATTTGTTATCCACCCAGCATGGTGCTGTGCAGGCTTCCCAGCGTTCCTGTGGGAGAGGGGGAGCTGTTTGTGTTGTGCCAAGGCTGAAGGGAAGAAGGCTTTGCTGCATTGGCATTATACTTGTGGACAGAGCCATAGCCCATCAACAGCTGAGCTAATTTCAAATGTCTGCCCAGCACATCCCCTTGCCCTTGGGGTTCTGCTGGTAGTGCTGGTGGTCAGCACAGGGTTGTACCTACGGGGGTTCACACTCAATGGGTGTTAGAAGGATACTGCAACGACCAGCCTCATCTTCTGCCCCTCCTCAGGCCACCACCCCACACACTGTGAAATATTTTCAGGATTCTTCTTTGGCATTAATATCTTTTTTTGTTGTTGTTATTGTTTGGTTTGCTTTGCTTTGTTTTGTCGATATGAGTTCTCCTAATAATACTGATGTATCTTGAAGTACAACCAAGAACCTTCACCAGGAGTTAGATAACACTTGGTTATGTACAAATATCTGTGAGGAAAAACCATGCTGTGTTGACAGGGTAACAGTGAAAGGTATAAATGATAAGTGACTTCGGAAGTGAAAAGCTTGATGTCATACTTGTGTGGTTTGTTATGCACTTAATAAAATAAATGTAAAGTGTCAGTTATGGAAGTCTTCCAAACCAGTCTTTCATGACTAAGATAACTCCTTGCTGATAGTTTTGCAGAGATGATTTGCAGTAACCAGTCTGAAAGAGGAGAGATTCATTGTCTTTTATGACATTCTTTCTTTTATTCTTTTAAGTTTCATCAAGAGCAAAGCAATTACAAGCTACCATACTCCACATACTCATACTTGGAGAGTTGCCTAAGAATTACATACATGGTCTTTCTGCAGTCATTGTGATCACATCATCACAGTATAAAGGAGACTGGAAGGGACCTCCAGAAACTGATCTAATTAGATCTGGTTGCTCAGAGCTGTGTCCAGTTGTGTCTTGCATTCCCACATTGAATTCCTTCATGAGGAGATTCCTGTCTGCACACCCTGTGTCAGTGTTTGACCACTCTCATGGTAAATCAACAAACAAATAAGTTCTTCTATCTAATCAGAATTTCCCACATTCTGACTTTTTTTTGTTGCCTTTTTTAGTTCCACTGTGAAGCTCTGAGAAGAGTCTGGCTCTGTCTTCTCTGTATCCTCTGGTCAGGCAGTTGTAGACAACATTATGTTCTCCCAAGACTTCTCTCCTGTGGGCTGAAGAGACCCAGCTCCCCCAGACTCTCCTCTTTTTTTCTTTTTTTTTTAATGGATGAGACATGTCTGTCTACACTTTACAGCTTACTCTTGTGACTATATATCCACTTATCTAACTTCAAATTGGTTTTGATTTCTTTTTTTTTTTTCTTCAGCCTGGATAATTTAATAGAAAGAATTCTGGTAGCCAAAAACAGTGAATATGCAAGTGTGTTGTGTTTTACCATGAAGTTTATCACAATGCCTCACATACAGAATCAGAGATGGGCTGAGGCAGGAAGGTGTCTCTGGAGATCACCTGGTCCAAACCTCTGTTCAGTGCAGGGTCAGGCAGACTAAGCTGCTCAGGTCTGTGTCCAGTTAGTTTTTGTTTCCACAGCCTTTGTGAACAGCCTGCTCCAGTGTTCAACTCCCCTCACAATAGTAAAGTGGTTTCTTATGTTAAATGAGATTTCTTGTATTTCAGCTTCTGCCCATTTGCTTCTTATCCTGTCAAGAAAATTCTGACTCCATCTTCTTTCCTTCCCCCTTAAAGTATTTATACATTTTCATAAGATGCCCCTGAGCCTTCTCTGCTCCAGGCTGAACAGTTCCAGCATCTGCTCATATGACAGATGCTTCAGTCCCTTAATCCTCTTTGTGGTCCTTTGCTGGGCTCTCTCCAGTATGCCTCTGTCCCTCCTGTAGTGGGGAACCCATCTTGGGACCCAGAT